TCACTATTTAAAAACCACAAAGTAACTTAGTTCACGCAAATCATGAACTCATTAATATTCTAAACCAAAGCTTTATAAACTGCATCAGATGCACTAAGATACAGAAAATAACTAAGTGGTTTCTACCAAACAATGAAGATTTAAACTGTCTGTGAAATCAATTCTGTGCTTTTATCTGCCTTTATATTGAAATTCCACTAAGATCTTACTTTGGGAAAAACAAGTATTTGAAGATGATCATTTTCAGGGTTTTTAGTCATCACTTAACTGTAAAGTTTACCTCAATATAGTTATAGTTCAATTGACAGAATGCCTGGGAATACATTTATTTGACATAGTGTAATTTCCTGATAAGATGACAATTATGAATTTGCCAAAATAACATTTTTCTAAGTAACATAAAGAAGAACTCAGAATCTGGGGTTAGTAAAACTTAGATTCAAATCCTAACTGCTACTCTATAATTCTGAACAAGTGATTTGGCCATTTGAACCTTGTTTTCCTACCTGAAGAATTGAGAAAAATAACAACCCTGTGTTGTTAGACTATTATTGAGGGTTTATGTGAAAGTACATGGTATAATGCCCAGCACATAGTATTGTTCCTAAATGGTTGCTATTCATATTATTAATATACTAAGTATTGTTATGGATTGAACAAGTAGTTTTTTATGCAGTAAACATAAATTCTGTCACTGGAATCAGTAATATTACAGAAAACATGCTCTGGATTTAGAAACAGAACTCTGTATGTGTGATCCATTTTAAACAAATAAAAAGGAACTGTATGCTAGTGCAGAGAAGAAAAAAAATGAAAAAAAAAAAGAGTTGTAGAACTGAATTCAACTTTTATATAAATGAAAACCTACTGGTGCACATACAAGGTAAAATGCTATGATGTGAACACTAAAGGGTGAGTTCTATTGAATTAACAGAACAAGATTTTTTCAAATGCTCCTTTCTTAAATTGTCTATTACTAATTTAACTGGTATCAATATTATAGCTTTGTGAGGAATTCTATTTTGAACATTAATAAATCTCTTGATGATAAATGGGATATTCACTTAGTCTAAAAGTACCTTTCAATAATTTTTTTTTCTTTCTTTTTTTTTTTTTTGAGAGAGTTTCTGTCACCCAGGCTGGAGTGCAGCCTATACTTTGAAATGTAAATATCCTCAAAGCTCAAAATAGTCATTCTCACCTATCTTTATTTAATATTTTATTAAGAATCTATTCTGGCCTGGCGCAGTGGTGCATGCCTGTAATCCCAGCACTCTGGGAAGCCGAGGCGGGCAGATCACGAGGTCAAGAGATCAAGACCATCCTGGCCAACATGGTGAAACCCTATCTCTACTAAAAATTCAAAAATTGGCCAGGCTTCGTGGTACACACCTGTAGTCCCAGCTACTCAGGAGGCTGAGCAGGAGAATTGCTTGAACCTGAGAGATGGCAGTTACGGTGAGCCAAGATCGCAGCATTGCACTCCAACCTAGGTGACAGAGTGAGACTCTGTCTCAAAAAAAAAAAAAAGAACCTATTCTTAGCTAACACTAACCAAAGAAATTGTGCTTATAAAGGAAACAGAAGAATACATATACTAACTCACAGGAGATTCGTAATCTCTAACCCTTTAATTGGCTCTCCCAGTATTTCCTCTCCAATCTTCTTCATAAGCACTACAAAATTACTTGTTCATCCAGAACTCTTGAACTTCCTTGAATGAAGATTCTCCACAGATAAGAGAATCAATATGCAAGGTGTTCAAAGTAGCCAAGTCAGTCATCAACTTACCAGATTCCAAGGATAATAGCGAGCTCTTCAGCACACAGATCGGGCATCTGAAACTGTTCACAATCTGCTAACTTTATCTCATTCAGAACGGTGTCATCATTGAGCTCAAGATTCTAGTGGAATACAAAAGAAAATTCTTAGACCAAGTATTAAATTTTATTCACTTACAAGAATGGCATGTAATAAATTGCTAGAGAGGATAAAGTTAACTGACCTTGTTTACATACGGCCAATAGGCTGTTTCTTGTGAAACACATATTTAGAAACAATTTACCTTGCAGAAATGGAAGATGTGCCATCTATACCTCAAGAATACACTAACAATGACAATAATAGGGAATAACAGCTATCGCTGATTGAGCCAAGTACGGAAAAACCCTTCTGCAGATAATCTGACAAACAGTTTTCAAATTCGTCCTCACAATAATCATAGACAAAAGGCATTTCTATCCCCATTTATTGATGAAAAAACAAAGAATCAGATACTTAAAGCTAATCCAAGATCACATACAACATATGTGACAGCATCAGGATTTAAAACTGGATTTGGGAGGCTGAGGCAAGTGGCTGGCTTGAGCCTAGAAGTTTGAGACCAGCCTGGGCAACATGGTGAAACACCATCTCTACCAAAAATACAAAATTTAGCCAGTCTTATAACCTGGTCTCTAAATAGATAAATAGGTAAAAATTTTAAAATAAAATAGGCCGGGCACAGTGGCTCATGCCTGTAATCCCAGCACTTTGGGAGGCCAAGGTGAGTGGGCCATGAGGTCAGGAGTTCAAGACCAGTCTGACCAATATGGTGAAACCCCACCTCTACTAAAAATATAAAAATTAGCCCAGCCTGGTGGCGCATGTCTGTAGTCCCACCTACTAGGGAGGCTGAGGCAGGAAACTTGCTTGAAACTGGGAGGCAGAGGTTGCAATGACTCAAGATTGCCCCACTACACTCCAGCCTGGATGATAGAGCAAGACTCCATCTCAAAAAATAAAAATAAATAAAATAAAATAATTCCGAAGAATTTTCTAATAGTCACATGTAAAATGTTAACCATATTAACCCTGTAACATGTGCTACATGTTTAATCCCAGCACTTTGGGAGACCAATCCAAGAGGACTGCTTGAGCCCAGGAGTTCGGAACAAACCTGGGCAATATAGTGAGACCTCACCTCCATTTAAAAAGAAAAAAGAAAAAAAAAGAAAGAAAGAAAAACAAAAAAAGATTAAATTCTGTATTAAACTGTACATCATTTTCATATATTTCTCATAATAGTCATCCTATCCTATTTATCACTAGGAGATAATTTTTTTACGTTTTTTAGAAATGAGAGTTTCACAACCAGTATCAGCCTTTCTAAAAAATACCAAAAAATAAAGAGCATCAACATAATTAAGAACTTGCATTAACTAATGGGCAAAACAGCCCGCTAACATTAAATGGCAGTATCAAACTCACATATATTGTTATTAATTCTAAATTTAAATCGACTGAATCCCCCAATCCAAAGACACAAACAGGCAAAAAAAGCCAAGACCCATTGGTATGCTACATCCGGATCCATCTCACATGCAAGGATACACAAAGACTCAAAGGGATGGAGAAAAATTTACCAACCAAATGGAGAGCAAAAATAAACAGAAAGCAGGATTTGCAATTTTTGCTGATAAAATAGACTTTAAAGCAACAAAGATCAAAAGACGTAAAGAAGGGCATTACATAATGACAAAAGGATCAATGTAACAAGAAGAGCTAAAGATCCTAAATATATACACACCCAATACAGGAATACCCAGATAGATAAGACTTATAAAGAGACTTGGACTCCCACACAATAATAGTGGGAGACTTTAACATCAATATTAGACAGATCAATGAGACAGAAAGTTAACATCGAGATCCAGGACTTGAACTCAGATCTGGAACAAGTAGACTTAATTAACATTTATAGAACTCTCCACTTTAAATACACAAAATATACACTCTTATCAGTACCACATCACACCTATTTATAGGTTTAAATGAAATATCGGTTGGCTGCTTGTTAATTATTTTCTTCCCTCATTTTTTTTTTTTTATGTCTCTATTATTAAAAACAATTACAGGCATACCCATTTGTAGACTGCATTCTAGCCCGGGCAATAAAACAACACCCCTGTTCTCTCTCCCTCTTCCTCTTCCTCTTTATTCCTCTCCTTCATTCTTTTTCTTTTCTTTTTCTTTTTCTTTTTTATTCTTTCTCTTTCTTTCTCTCTTTCTTCATAAAAAAAAAATCTTACAGATCTTTAATAAACATGTTCTTAGTTACAACTCTTGTTGCTACTGCTGCTAATGTAAATAGTATCTTTACTGCTATCACATTTTCAAACTCACTTTTTACTAGACAAATGGGTAGTTTCCACGTTAATTTTACATCCAGTAACTCTGCTGAACTCTCATCAGTTTAAGTTTGTAGGTTCTCTTAGATTTTCTAATAATCCAAAAAACCCAATTGCATCTCTTCCTTTTTAATTCCATTATTTATTTCCTTTTTTCAATTGTTGAATAGAAGCAGTGATAGAAACGTTCTAGTTTAGTCCCTAATTCTAATGGGAAAGCTTCTGTAATCTCACCATGAAGTATGAGACTTGCTGCAGATTATTTAATAGATAACCTTTAGCATAATGTGTCGTTATAAGAAAGTGATTTGCATCTGGCTGCGGTGTCTCATGCCTGTAATCCCAGCACTTTCAGAGGCTGAGGTGGGTG